GTTCAATCCCCCTTTCCACCTACCACACCCCTTTCCCGGTTCCCACTTCTTTTCTATTCCTAACACAAGCAACCCCGCGCTCTGGAACCCGGGTTCTGAGCCTTTAGGGCTTCTTCTGGGGCCTTCCTGCCCCACCTCGCTGCCATCTCTCCAATCCATTCTGCCTTCGCCGCCAACCACCCTCACAGCATCCCCGGTTTTCCTCCGCCAACCCTCCACCTCAGCGTCCCCCCCTCTTTTGGTCTCCAGTCCGGGCGACCCCTCTGGCCCCAGCAGCCCATCTCCGGAGACCCTCATTCCTCCCCGACCTTGCTCGGGGCCGGCCCCTCCCCCCGAGCCCCCAATCTCTGGCCAGGCAGTACCCGCAGTGGGGGGGACGGGATTGGGAAAATAACAAATGGAGGCGGTGGCGGCGGGAGGGGGAACTGGGAGGGGTGGGGGTGGGGAGCCGCAGGCCGGAACCCGGGCGGGCCACAACCCCAGCGGGCCTGGGACCCGGACGGCAGCAGATCTTACCTGCTCGTAGCTCGGGACGGCAGGCTGGCTGGCTCCGAGCGGGAGTCCCGGCTCCCGCGCCTCCGAGGGGGCGGCGGCGGCCGCTCCCCCGCCCCCCTCTCTTCTTCCCGGCTTCAGTCGCCGCCGCGACGGCGGCGGCAGCGGGCCAGACCCCGACGAAGGGCGGCCCCCATGCCCCGTTCCCCCCGCCCGGCCCCGATCGCCCGCCCGGCCCGGAGCAAACCCCGATCGGCGCTCGGGCGCTCCCCGCCCAGGCGCGCCGCCTCTCCGGGCCGCGCCGCCCGCCCCGCCGCGCCGCTCGCCCCGCGCCCGGCCGGCCCTCCGCGCGGCTCGGGCCCGCCGCCGCCCGCCGCGCGCAGCCCGCACTCGCGCGATGCCGGCCTCTGGGCGGCTTCGCCCGCGGCCCCCGCCCCTCCGGCGCTCGAACCCCTCACTCCCCCTAGCTCCTCCCCGAGGCCAGCGGTCCCCCGAAACGGGTCCCGGCCCGAGACCCCGGCCCGGCGCGGGGCTGCGGGCGGGCTGGGTGGCGCGTCGGGCGACTAGCACAGGAAAGCGGACGACGGAGGGAGGGCGCTTGGGAGAGGGGGATGGGAGAAGGGAGGAAGAGGGAGAAGGAGGGAGCGCGGAGGAACGGAGGAGAGTGGGGCCGGGAGGGAGAAACGAGGGAGGGAGGCGAGGCAGGCTGCGAGGGGGGAGAGTGGGGGGATCGGGGAAGGGGAGGCGCCGGGAGAGTTGGCGAGGCCGAGGGGGCCGGGGCCCGGGGAGGGCTTCGCGTGGCAGAACGTGCGGAGCCCACGGGCCCGGCGCGGGAGAGGGCTGGGTAGGAGGGGCTGTGGGTTGTGAAGGTAGATAGGAAAGAGGCTGGAGAAGTTTGGGGACGACCGAGTCTGTGGCAGAGGTGAGGAGGGAGGAGTTTGGGGGATACTGGAGTAGAGATGGGATTATGGGGTTAGATTGGAAAGATGGAGCGGCATGGGGGCTTTGAGTCCAGTGAGGTGTGCGGCAAGGAGAGGCAAGAAGGGTAGAGGGGATTGGGGAATATTTTCAGAGGGAAGCAATGGAAGTTTGGGACTTTAGGAGGAGAATTGAAAATACGAAGGCAACCGGGTGCCAGTGGCCCACGCCTGTGTAATCCTAGCTACTCTGGAGGCAGAGATCAGGAGGATCACAGTTCAAAGCCAGCCCCAGGCAATAGATGGGGCGACCCTATCTAGAAAAAAAAAATCACAAAAAAAGGGCTGGTGGAATGGCTCAAGTGGTAAGAGTGCCTGCCTTCAAACCCCAGTGCCTAAAAGAAAAAGAAAGAAAGAAAAGAAAATATGATGGCATATATAGAAGAATTGGAGTCTGGAAGAAAGTAAAGATTTGGGGGTGGTATGTGTTGAGAAGAGTGGGAACTAGACTTTGGGGATGATGAAAGAAAGGTGGAGGTGTCTGTGGGGGAGAGAAGGAAAAACAGGAACCCTAGAAGGGATGAAGAAGCTGGGACCAGATTCTAGTTCTAGAGCAAAATGGGTTCTGGGTGGCAATGGGGGGGGTGTAGCTGGATCCTCAGGGTGGGAATTCAGGTAGAACTGAGGAGTGTTTCCTTTGGCAAATAAAGTGAATTGACAGATAAAGTGGAAGAGAAGGGGTTAAAGAAGATTAGAAGGCAGCTGTGGATGTGGCTCAAGTGGTTGAACACCTGCCTAGCAAGCCTGAGGCCCTGAGTTCAAACCCCAGTACCACCACCACCCCCAAAAAAAGAAAGGAAATGGTGGCACTGGGGAAGGAATGCCATTGATGGAGAAAGAGAAGAGCTGGTAAAAGGGAGAGTATTGAGTCAAGGCAGTGACATAAATGGGAGTGGCAGGCCCTAGGTAGGTAATTGATGTAACAGGAGTGGGACACCTTCCTCTGACCCTTCCATCTAGTGGCATCTCCATTTTCCTTCTCAAGTCTGTTTGAAGTTATCACTAATAATACCTTAGGTGACAGGGAAGGGGTCAGATGGGGACTAAGCTCAGTGTGGACCCAACATCCATAGGTGCCCTGACTTCCTATCCCAATTGTTGGAATATGGAGACTGTCTCCACCCTAGAAGCTCTTCCCTAGCCCTTCCTTCTCCCTCTGATCATCAGTGTGCCAGCCATACCCAGTCTTCGGCCACGAAGCCAGCGCCCCCACCAGTTCACCACCAGTACCTTTTGGGCTCCCTCCCCAGCCCCAAACCAAGCAGCAATGTCTCTCAGGACAAAGGACACCAGAGACACTGGGAGATTTTTGGCAGCTGAAATTGGGAAGGCCAGAGAAAGGGAGTGAGGCAGTCTGGAAAACAGGAAGAGCTGGAGCTGGAGTCTGGATTGGGAGTCTTTAGTAGCTCTTCAGATTTGGGGCCAGGGATAGGATACTTCTGGGCCCAGTCCAGCTGGAGATGGAGAGGGGACCCTGAACTGGCAGCTTCCCCTGCCTTCTGGGAAGAAGGTTGGCCCTTGTAGCAACTCAATAGATTTTGTCTCACAGTTCTTTAGGCCAGACTTTGCCAAGACTTGGGAATACCCAAATGCTCTAAACATTTCAAAGCTCTGGGGAACAGGGAGCAGGAGCAAGAATTGTTCCATGGGAATCAATCCCCACTCTGAAGTCTCTATTGGTACTCATTTTACCACCAATGCCCACCTTCCTTGTTCCTGTAGGGCCTCCCAGAGACCAGGCCAGCTCCCTATCTCCCTGTGTCCCCTATGGCCCTTCCTCAATGTTCTAGGACAGCCTCTGCCCCTTCCTTCCTTCCCCTAACTTTGTTCCAAGATTCCTCCTTCCCTCTACACCCTCTCCCCATTGCATTTCCACTGAACTCAGTTCAATGTTTCACTGTGCCTGACTCAGGCCCCTCTGAAATCCCTTCCAGACCAAGCTGAGCTTTTCTTGTTTTTTAATCATTAAGGCATTGACCAGGATGGTGACTTATCTGAGCCTAAAAGAAAAATTCAGGCATAGGTAAAGACAAGGAATGGGGAGAATAGTAAGAGAAACCAGGACCTACCCTTTCCAATTCCTGCCCTACCTGAGGGCCAGGCTCACAACTCAGCTTCAGGGAATATCACACACACACACACACATCCCTCACCCCAGCTCCCTCTCTGGGCCCAGCCCCCCACAACCCACTGGTCTCTAGGCAACGGCACAAAAGGAAAGTGAAGAGAGGGGCCTGGGAGGCCCTGGCAGAGCTAGCTGTAACCCAATCCAACCTAGTACCTGGTGTGTGTGGCTGAGGGGGTGGGGAGGGTGGGGCGGGAGGGACTGTCAGAAGGTGACCTAGTGAGGAGGAAGGAAAGAGAGGGCAGAAGTTAGGAAAGGTGGCTCCAGCTAAAACAGTCCTGGCCAGACTGGGAGTTGTTGAGGAAAGATGGGTATCATGGACCCCAGAGAAAACTGAGAGCCACAGACAACTATGGTGAACCCCAGGGAGACAGAAAGGAACACTAGGAGAGGAGGGAAAGATGAGATGCCCACATTGAAATTAGAGGCACAGAGGAGAGAGGGGTAAGAAGCTCTTTGAACTGAAAATGGCTGAAGTGTCAGGGACACAGGAAGGGAGGCAAAGAGAGACATGGGCCCTGACTATACATAACTAGAATCCTATGTCATCCCTGAAGTGGGCAGGATGGCAGAGAAAGCCCAAGACCAGAGCTTAGAAAGTGGAAGCAGAGTTAAGAGGCCTGCAGAGGGTACAACCTTGAAATTCCTCCCACACCACCTCAGCTTGCCTTCCAGTAGTGTCCTGCAGAGCCTTGGCTCCCTCTCGTGGCTTAGCTCCCCATGTGCATACCCTGCCTGCTGGGATGTGTCCCTGCTTCTAAGTTACTGTCAGGTTGTCCCCCAAGGTGGTCTCTGAGCTGAGCAGCTCAACCCTAAGACTCCACAGTGCTGAAGAGTTCCAGGACAGCTTCCTCACAGTCTGACGCCAGAGGGCCTGTTGAGCACTTCGGGTCCCAAATCTTCAGTTTACTAGAGGACTCAGTTTCCTCAGACTCAGCTCTACACTCCTGGTACCATTTTCCCCTCCCCAAATTCTCCATCTTGCTTGGGCTGAAGGCCATGAAGTCCTGTCCCACTCTAGAATTAGCCAGAATTTTGTTGGGAGAGGCCCAGTATGGGAGCTGCTCTAGTCCATAGTTTTTTCCCTTCTTTAGTCAAGGACACTTTAGACCCATTTCCCCAAAAAATGTACACAAAGATGCACACATGATTTCTGATACTTCCAAGAACTGGACCCCAGGTTAAAAATTCCCTAATTCACCTGGTCCTGGACCAGGCCTGCAGCTGAGTAGGAAGAGACAATGTGGACCCCACCTGTCCAGGGTTGGCCATCACCTTGGCCACTTTGTTGTTGGTTTTCCTCTCTTTGTGCCTTCCCCAGCTCTGCTATCCAGTTTCACCAACTTCCAGGTCCTCTATCTCTGCTCTCCTCATACAGAACAAAGTGAGACTCTTCAGACACAGAATGCACTGTGATTCAGACTTTAATGGTGGTGCTCATTTCAATGCCACAGAGGTGGAAGCAACTGTGGAACACAGCACAGGGGAGGTGAGACAGTGCTCTGGTGCAGCTGGAGAAAGAACAGGGAACCTAGGGCTAGGGAGAGATTTGTAAAAGTCTCCCAGGCACACAGCCCCACTCTGGACCAAGCCAGACTTCAGTTAGTACACGCAACAGAACTGATGCTAAAAACCCCTTTCTGTTACCCTTCCCATCTCTAGCAAGACCTCCCACCCCAGGTCATCTTAGTATCTGCAGCCACATGAAATACAGGTGCATAGTCCTCTCAAGAAGGGCCAGTTTTAGGCCCTAGAAGAAATGGCTGACTAATTAACAAAAGTAAATAAATAAATACACAAAAGCCTTAAGTAGGCATGACTATAAACCCAGTAGTCAGTCCCCTATGCCTCACCTCTATGCACAGTTCATGGTTCATATGCAACATGGAAAACACACAGAACAAAGCACAGGAGACACATGGCCCCACTCTAAACACCTTAACACACCTGCCCTGAAACTCCAGAACTGATTGTTCTTCCATAGACCTCCTTCTAATCCTCATTCTTATTTCCAGTTTTTGAGGGAACAGAGAAGGGAAAGGAAGAAGTGGAGAAAATGGAAACCCAAAGAATGGGGGCCCAGAGAGGGGGGACAGCAAAGACAGCAAGGGTTTTAAGGAAGCCAGGGAGCAGCTGGAGCAGGTTAGTAAGGGAGTTCTGGCTGTCCTGGGGCTCAGGGTATCTCAGGGTGAACTATCACAGGTTAGGACAGTGAGAAGGAGCTTCCAGGAGGATGGGATGGAGGTTCAACTCTCCAGGCAGGTAGAGGGATCACAGCACACTGGGATTGCGGAAATTATGTCCGGCAAAGCGAGCTTCATCTCCCAGTTCTTCTTCAATTCTGAGATAAGTCAGAAAGGAAACAAGTCAGGGAAGCAGGAGGGTACTGCTTCTTTCTTAGGTAGTCCTACTAGCCTCTGCCTTCCTTCATCCCACCTGCTTGAGTCTTGACCCAAAGTGAACATTCCCTGGCTTTCCCATGCAACCTAAATCAGGTGATCAGTAAGTCAACAAGCAAAACCAAATATTTTCTGGACATCTACTGTGGCCCAAGGCACTGGAGATGGAACAGTGAGCTAACGGGGATTTTAGCCCTCTGCACCCTGGGCTCTTGTTCTTCAGGGACTCTCACCTCATGAGCTGGTTGTACTTAGCCAGACGCTCAGAACGGCACGGAGCACCAGTCTTGATCTGAAACATTCCAAAAGATAAGTAGCCCAGTGACTGCCTCTCCACCCCCTGAAAGGAAACTTTAAAAAAAAAATGGAACCCAGGACCTTGCACATGCTAGGCAAGTGCTCTGCCACTGAGCTACCCTGAAACTTCTACTCTTGAAACTCCCTTTATGCCTTCAAATACCTAGAAGGAGAGACCCACCTGAGTTAGACTCCATCCATCCCACAAAGATCCCCCATTCCGCAGGCTGCCCCCACTCACCTGGCCTGTGCACAGCCCCACCACCAGGTCCGCAATGAATGTGTCCTCAGTCTCTCCTGAGCGATGACTCACCATGACCCCCCAGCCATTCTCCTGGGCCAGCTTGCACCTGCATTCATACACCAGCACTGACCTCAGCCCCACACAAGGGGTGTTCTCTCCCAGCCCCAATCTTGGTCTATCATGAAGCACATGGAAGTGTCTGGGATGTGTCTGGGAGGGAGGGAGTAGAGGTGAGAGAACTGTAAATGATATTCCAAGTTCCCTGCTCTCTCCAGAAACCCTGGGCAAGATCAGGGTGGGAGTACTTGCAAGAGGGGTACCACAGAAATGGGCTGAGTGGGACAGGGTCAAGAGTCACTCACGCTTGAATGGCTTCAGTGACTGAGCCGATCTGATTAACCTTGAGCAGCAGACAGTTGCAGGCCTTTTCCTCCACTGCCCGCTCAATACGCTTTGGGTTGGTCACTGTCAGGTCATCACCCACAATCTGGATGCCTACATTGGCTGTGAACTTGGACCAGGCTGCCCAGTCATCCTGGTCAAATGGGTCCTCAATGGAGACCACTGCAGAAAGGGCGGTGAGGGGACACTTGATCCTGCCTGGGTCTCTGCTTAGGGAAGGACAACCCCTTCCCCCTTCCTTTTTTCTTTTCTTTTTTTGTTTTTGTTGTTGGACTAAGGGCGTCACAATTCCTAGCAGGTTCTCTACCACTTGAGCCACATCTCCAGCATCACTAAATTGCTTTAGTTATTTTGCAGATAGGGTCTCCAGTTTTTGTTCAAGACAAACTTGAAACGATGATCCTCCTACCTACACCTCCCTATAGCTGGGACCGGCTTGTACCTTTGTCCCTTGCCCCCAGTTCTTTTGTTCACTTCAGGGTTCATGTCTGTACCCCGAAGATGGCTGAGGATGAGCTGAGTGCTTACTTTGCCTCTTCCCATGGCATGTCTTGAGCTGTGTAATAAACCTTTCTCTGCCTTCACCATGCCTCTTTATTTGGCATTTAGGGGCAGATGGCTGGACCTGGCATATGGACTCTCAAGAGTTTGGGCCTTGGGTCCAAAACTCTGGTTTCAAGATTACAAGTATATACCACCACACCTGGCTGGGACACCCAACTTTGCATCTTTGAAATGTACAAGTCTCCTGGGTGGATATGCCTCCTTATGTTTGCTCCCCAACCCTCCCCAAAATAAGCATGCCCTCCTAACTGATTCTTATCCTGATTCTCATTTTGTAAAATTTCCAATAACAAAACCTCATTTTGCATTTTCCTATTCTTAACACCAGGACCCTGCCTCATTAGTAGTCTAACTCCTGCCTTCTGCAATTGATGTTTATTTTCTCTTGCTCTGTCTTAAGAAGATAGAGACCAACTGTTTCTTTTGTAGGATAAAAGAAGGAAAAGGCTGTGGTAGACTTGGGGAGGGTTATTCAGCCCTTCTCAGCCATCATTTCCATTCACCCAGCAGTCCCAGCTCCATTCAGCATCTACAGCTTCATCAATCAAAGATACTGAAATGCACTACTTCCTGTTAAGGCTATTCACTTTCTCACCATCCCTGGCTCCTTCTAGAGCCCTCCCATGATATCACTAGCTTTTAGAGCCCACAACTGTAATCAGGTTCCAATGTAGATAGAACAAATTCATCACAAATACATACCACATTTACACAACAGGCAAAGCTCATCTTTGCAGAAGACTCCTTTGCCCTATCCCTGGTTCTCAGGCTTCTCTTAGAATACTTCTACCTGGTACCTGACTTGGCACCATAAGGTCCACAGTTGCCCCATCACGTCCCTGCCTGCCCTCTGACTCTCCCCCTGCCCACTCTCCCACACCCCTTGTGCTCACCAGGATAGTCCCTGACAAAGTCCTGATAGAGCGCCCCCAGCTGGTCCCCAGTGATGTATCTAGAAGGATCAGCAGGAGACTTGAAGTCCAAGTCATATTTGCCATCACGATGAAACTCTGAAGCAGCGACATCCATGCCAATGACAATCTTTTCCGTGTAGCCAGCCTTGTCGATGGCTTCTTTCACCAGCTCCAGGGCTACAGATGGAATACGGTGAGATTATAAACAGGAGGAGAGGGCAGGGAGAAAGGAGGGAGGGAAAAGAAGCTCAGAGTGCAGGTGGGGGAGGTGTGGCCATGGTGATTGTTGGGGTTGAACCAGATCTGGAAGGAGAGACCATTTTCTAGGAAGGCAAGAATGGAATTCCGTTCCTAGTAGATGTTTTTCTTGGTATCACATCACCTAAGACTTTACATATGTGATCTCATTTAATCCTCACAATAATGCTACAGGGCAGAAACTATTATTCCCATTTCACACATAAGAAAAGGAAGCACAGAGAAGTAAGTTAAGTAGGAAAGATCATAAATGAAGGCAATTTGGCTCCCTTTCTTTCTTTTTTTTTTTTTTGGTGGTGCTGTGGATCAAACCAAGGGACCCAAGCAGCATTCTGGGCAAGTGTTCTACCATTGAGCTACACCTCCAGTCCAGAACCTTGACTCCTACACTCCTTCTCCCTATATAGTTTCCATTCATGATACAGTTTCTCCCAGGGCGCGCACACGCACACGCACATGCACACACAAAATTAGGCATCCTAGAGGCCCAAGAGACTGGAGTGGGGATAGGATAGCTTTAGAATGGCCTCCCTGGAGTAATGGCATATCTCATTCAACTGAAATTCCTGTGGAGGTAAAGGATGAGATGGACCCTCCCTGTATTCCTAGGGGCTCTAGTGAGAACTTACAGGTGCCAACAGATGTGACTGGGCATGTAGGAGCCTGCCCCCCAGGTCTGCATGTGAATTTGACTAAAAGCTGGTACCTCCATGGGTTTGCAGGAATTCGAAGACCTTCCCCCCAACCCTCCTCAGGCTTCAGGAAGTGTGTGGCCCTTCCTGATGTCCCAAAATAGAGTAAGCCCTGGAGCTGGAGTGAGGTTCTTGGCCTTACCTTCACTGTTCTCCAGGATATTCGGGGCAAAGCCACCTTCATCCCCCACATTGGTGGCATCCTTGCCATACTTGTCCTTAATGACCCCCTTGAGTGTGTGGTAGACCTCTGCCCCAAGTCGCATGGCATCACGAAAGCTCTCAGCACCCACTGGGAGGATCATAAACTCCTGCATGGCCAGCTTGTTCCCCGCATGAGACCCGCCATTGATCACGTTAAAGGCCTGGATAGACAGAAGGGTCAAAGAGCCTTCCTTCCTTGTCCTTGGGAGTATTAATCCAAGGTCCCAAACTGCCCCTGAGATGCCTGGACTCAGAGTTCACATTCCCATGCCTTCAGATCTCTTCAGCAGCAAGTTCATCTTCCTCCCATCATTCTTCAGGAGGGAAGTTTCATGCTCCTCCCCACCCCCCAACCTCTGGAAGGGGCCCAGTCAGTGCTCACCGGCACAGGCAGGATGAGGTCTGAGTTCCCAGCCAGCTGAGCAATGTGGCGGTAGAGAGGCAATTCCCGCTCCGCAGCCCCCGCCTTACAGATGGCCAGGGACACACCCAGAATGGCATTGGCCCCAAACTTGGCTGGGAGATTACAGAGGAAGGCACTGAGCAAAAATGTCCCTTCCTCATTCTACCCCTGCCTCCACCTATACTACCCTAAAGAACCAGTAAAGGAGCACCCCTCTTCTCTCCCCACCTCTGTCTCATCTCATCCATTCTCTCTAGAGAACAGCAGGGCAGGGGGAGGAGGCAGAAAGCCTCACCTCTTTCTACACATCCCTCAGACTATTCCATGTGGACTCTCTTCTTTATGCTATAAAGAAGTTCTTCCTTCTGTTTAATGTCACTCCCTCCCACTGCAGTGGCTTTGGGAGGAGGATGGAAGAAGTCCTCTGACAGTCACTCCTGATGAAGTGTCCCCGCCCAGCATGGCTGGTTCAGTTCTGTCTGCTCCACACATGCCCCACTCTCATGCTTACCCACTTTCTCCCAGCCCCTGCTTACATTTGTTTTCAGTCCCATCCAACTCCAGCATCAGGTTGTCCAGTTTCTCTTGTTCCACCACAGAGATACCCTGTGGGCAGAGCCCCCATCACTCAGGGCCAAGATAGAGGCTAGGCCCCAAGGCAGAGGGTCCCCCATTCACACACAGCCTCACCAGGCCCCTGTAGCAGTGATCTGCCAGCATTGGGAGACATGAATTGTTGTGGAACAGGGAGGATTAAACAGCCTTTTTCCTACTTTTCCCCCTGTAACCATGGTTCCTAAAAGGTGGGCCTTTTTCCCTCCCAGTCTCCCTCCCAAATCCAGAATCCCTTCTAGGACTCTGGTCCTGTCATCCCCAGCAAAGAGCAAGCCTCACTGAGCTGATGAGGGCTGGTGCAATGGCGGTGTTGATGTGATCCACGGCCTTCAGGACACCTAGGGAGAGGAAGAATGACTGGACAGGTTAGAGGTACAGCAGTGGCCAGAGGAAGAAGAGGAGGAGAGAAAAGGCATACTAGGAGAGAGAGGGCTAGGGACTGGTGTGAGGTTAGATATAAAGCTGAGGAGTGACAGAGCTTGGCAGAGAAAGGGCCTTACCTTTGCCTAAGTAACGCTGTTTGTCTCCATCCCTTAGCTCCAGGGCCTCATAGATGCCAGTAGAGGCTCCACTGGGGACTGCAGCCCGGAAGAGACCTGGGAGAACATGGAATAAGGAGAAGAGGACCAGAAATTCCTTCAGTCTCTAAACTCCTGCTTGCCGCATCCAGTCTTCTCCCCATACTTCCTTAAAAGTACACATGTACACACACACACACACACACACACACACACACACACACACACACACTGAGCCAGCAGTGGCCTCCTCATCCGCCCATTTGAGGCACTATGGGCACAAGTGGGAGGCCACAGAAATGAAGCTATGCCAGGCAACATCACACATACACACACACACACACACACACACACACACACACATATGCGCGCGCACACAGAGGCAGGGGATGCCTCACACTAATCTAGAACACAGAGCTGCCTAGTCTGGCTCTCCTGTTCAAGGAGATTCAACCCCACAATCCAGCCTTTGGAGCCTGGCCTACCACCCCATCCTCTCTGGGTATAAAGGAAGGTCTCCCAACCCAGCCCAGACCCAGCATGGGGTAGAGAAGTGGGGGCTTATGAGAAAGCCCATGGTCCACCCATTACCTTTGGCAGTATGGAGATCCACCTCCACCGTGGGATTCCCACGGGAGTCCAGGATCTCCCGGGCCCAGATCTTCTCTATGGACATGATGTCTAGGATCTCCTTGGGTGGAAGGAAAGAAAGGAGAAAGAAAGAGGCTTAGAGGGGTGGAGCCTGAGGCCAGTGGGAGGAGCCAGTGGCTGGGAGGGATGGGAAAGAGGTTACTGCAGTGGGTAGGGGGTGGGGAGGAGCCGGCTGCAGTCAGCGGCAGTAGAAGGGGTTTCCTCCTCCCCCCACGGGAAAAAGGGAAGGTCAATGCGGTGAGGAAGGGGAGGTCACTGCAGTGGGGGGCGGGGTACATCAAATGCTGAGGTGAGCACCGCAAGGGGCACGACGGTTGGCTCCCTCGACCCTCAGCAGCTTTGCTGGCCGGCGGGGTTCCCCCAGATCTCCCCAGAGCGGAATGGGTGCCAGGTTGGCATTTTTCCCTGAGCCAGGAATAAGATAAGTCGTCCGGGCAGACAGGGCCTCTCCTCAGAACCCCCATCCCGTCCCAACTTGACACCCAGGACTGTCGGTCTCTTCCCCACTCCAAGGATCTCAACCTCTCTCCCAAACATGAGGGCCTCCTTTTCCCCAAGAGTCATACAGCAGAGGAGTCTGGGGACAGTCCTGGGATCGGCTCTCCAGTCCCTGGGGGCTGCAGCGGAAAGGTGTGGGAGAGTCAAGACTAGGTCCACCCTCTCCCCTGCCGTCCAATTCACTGCTCCTTCCATCCCTCCCCGATGCAGCTGAGAGGGGCGATGTGGGGAAGGAGTAAGAGAGAGGGGAATCTAGAGGAAGTGTGGGGTAGCCAAGGAAGGGTGAGAGAAGACATTTCCCCAAATGCAATGCAAAAGGACGTGCCGGGATAGAATGCACAGCCTGAGGAGACGCCGAACTTAATGTACAAATCGGCAAGACCTGAAGCGAAGATGATCATGGGATGCGAGAGGCAGGCAAAGGTGGAGAACGGCGCAGTTAGGAAGAAGCAGGTGCCGAGACGGCTGGCACCTAAACCAGGAGGGGGTGAGAGCCAGCAAGCGGGAGAGGAGCGCTCTGGGAAGGCCGGGGATAGAGGGTGCCGGGGAGGGTGGGTGAAGTGCAGGTACGCAGCGCCAAGGGCTGAAGCGCGAAAGCCAGGAAAGGGGGCAGGGACGCGGCGAGAGGAGGGTGACAGAGCGACGCAGGCCCGACCGGGGCTTCACCTCGGGGCTGCAGACTTAGCCGGTGACAGTGGCAGTGACGGTGATGGTGGCGGCAGCCGCGGCGCAGAGAGAGCCGGAGTGGCGGAGGCGACGGCGGCTGCGGCTCCCGGCGCGGGCGGGGGGCGGGCGGGGGGAGGCGCCTATAGGGCCAGGCGGGCGCATGTGACCCGGAGCCCCCGATGAGTCAGGAGCTGCCGGCGGAGGCGCACGTACGAGCGCGGGTGGGGGACCGATGGGGGAGGGTCTTGGGAGAAGCGAGGGGGAGGGAGAGGAAGGGTGACCCAGGATCTGTTCCCCCCCTCCGCTCCCCAAGGCACGCTCATACCCATGCTAGACCCACACCAGGAAACAGGCGCAGCCTCACACCAGTAATGCTGCGGTTACTGAGGCCCACACTGTCAAGGAAGCCCACCACTGACTAAGTGTCTAACAAACCCGGTCAGACTCAAAAGTATCAAAATGTTTCTTTATTTGAAAATAAACTGTCCCTAATACTCCAACCTGCTTCCCCAGCCAACCCTATGTGCCTTCTGAGGCTCCCCAAGACCTGCCTGAAGCTGCCTCCTGTCTAAGCAGAGCTCAGGCCCAGCTAGACACCACACACCGCACCCCAAACTGCCCAGGTGACACACAGCCTAGGCTTTGGACTGTGATGAATTCCAACTCTGGGGCAAAAGAAGGCATCCTCTGAGCAGGATGACAGGAGTATGATGTGGTGATCCCCCACTGGAGCCTTCCCACATCTTGGGGTCAGTGTCATTGGTCAGCTGGAGGATAAAGACAGAAGTAAAGCCTCTGCCCCCATCCGACGTACCAAGTACTGAGTGGTCTCACCTCCCTGGGCTTCTCTCAGTCTCTTTCTGCCTCACCCTGCCCTCCTTTCTCCTCCCACCAATGTCCTGTTATTTTTAGCTTCAGCTTTCTAGTGCACGATCTTCTGCCTTCTCTCCTTGGCCCAGCTGCATCCCTCCTACACCACCAACCACCTCCCTCCCCTTAAGTCCTCCCTAGACCTGTCCTTTCCTACCATATTCACTCTATGCCAGGACTGGCTGCCCACCAGATCCTCTGCCTACCCACCAGTTCTTCTCACTAACTCTCCTAGCATTTTGATGTAACTCCTAAGCTTTCATCAGCTCCTCCCAGGCCCTTCTGGTCCTTTCTTCTCACCCAAGATCCCCTGGCTCCTATGTCTGGTCTCTCCAAGGGTTCTCCCTACCTTTGCCCATACTCATCCACCTCCTTCTGCAGCAATTTCTCTTCCCCTACCTGCCTAGCTCTTGGCTTCCCTTGCTGCCTCCCTGCCAGCTTCTTTACTTTCCTTGGAGGCTGGAAGAAGTCTGCTAGATCAGTGACTGATCCAGCTCCAGATCATGCTCCTGCTCAGCTTCATGCTCCTGTTCCTGTTCCTCCTTCAACCTCTGGCGGATCTCATCAGCCTCTGCCCGCTCTTCCTCCTCATAGAAGTCTTTGTCCAGGCGCTCAAGCTGTGACATCTGCACCAGGGCCTCCTGGCGGTATTCCGACTCATCTGCGCATGGGTTGTCCAATAGTACCAAGGCTCGTAGCTTGGGCAGGTCCCGAAGCTTGGCCAGCTCTGCCAGGTCGCTCACCATATTGCCCCTGCCAGTGCATCAGAAGGGATTCACCCAGGAATAATGGGCTTTGATTGCCAGGTGCTAGGAATGGGGCCTCTGGGGAGCCTCCCACTAGGCCCCAGTTTGCCTAGAAATACTGTGAAGACTGGCCACTTCTGTCCTGTTTCTGCCCTTCGAGGAATTCCTAAAAGCCACAGTCTACGCTGTGTTGTGTCTTCTTCATCCTTTGGGAGTGGTGAAGCTAGGCCACACCATGTCTTGTAGTTGGAAAAGAGGGGAATATCCCTTTGGAACAGACTTTTTCTATGTCAGTCCTATCTAAACAGAAGTTAGAAGGCAAGACCCAGATTAGTGGAGAAGGAACTAGGCTCTAAGCACAGGGTCAGGGGTGGGTGCTGTATGGTGCCCTCCACAAGAAGAAATCTAGAACCAGGGATGGGCTCAGTGTCCCAGGCTGAAAAAGGTTTAGTCTCTTAATGTGTCTCATGCTGTGATACTTTGTATTTAATTTCATCCTCCTGTTTTCAAGCCTTTCTGAAATAATTTTAAATGTTTCAGTGGATATCTGAATGGATATGCTTGGGCCTCAAGAAGTGTTTCTCATCTGGAGCACTATAGGCATTTTGAAATGGAATGTTCTGTGTAGTGGCAGGATGTTTAGCATCTCTGCCCTCACATACTCCCAGTCACTTAGACAAAGTGTGTGGCTATATGTACCATCCCTTGCGTACTTCCAAACATACCCAAGAACCACGGGACGGGGGAGACTCTATTTCTAAAATACCCGGCCCAGGGTTGACAGAATGGCAAAGTGGTAGAGCACTTGCCACTTTAGTGTGAGGCCCCAAGTTCAAACCCCAGTGCCACAGAAAGAAAGAAAGAAAAAAGGAAGGAAGGAAGGAAAGAAGAAAGGAAGAAAGAAGGAAAGGAAGGAAGGTAAAGCTGGGTGCAGTGGTACACACCTGCAACCCCAGCACTTAGGAGAGTGAGGCAGGAGGATCATGAGTTCAAAGACAGCCTGAGCTAAACATCTAGCTCCAGACCAGCCTAGAACACAAATAAAAAGAGGGCAAGGGAGAAGAGGAGTAATACACATAAGATCCTAAGATCCTCCAAGGGATGGGGGTGTGTAGCTCAGTAGTAGAGTGCATACTTAGCACGCACAAGGCCTTGAGAGTGATCCCCAACACCACACAGAATTAAAAAAAAAATTTTTTTCCATCAGGAAAGAATTGCAGAAAGAAAATACCCCCTGCCCCCAACTTTCTACCTGGAGATTTTCTTTCTAATATTCTTCTTTCCTCAAATATGAGTACACCTGTGTTTAGTATCAGTGAGTGCCCTTATAGGTTGGGCTCAGGAGAAGAGAGGAAATGGGAAGGGGAATTGATGCCTAGGAAATAGAGAAGGGCAGTGAAAATTTATATATGATAGTGCCAGGAAAAGAGCCAGACTGTAAGTCTTACATGTCCCTTAAGAATAGGTACATGCCTGTAGTCCCAACTACACAGCAGGCTAAGGCAGAAGGGACACTGGAGCCCAAGACTCTTGGGAGTCTGTACAACATAGTGAGATCCTGTGTGTGTGTGGGGGGGGTGTTACTGGGCCTTGAACTCTGGGCCTTCACCTTGAGCCACTCCACCAGCCCAATTTTTTTGTGATAGGGTTTTTTGAGATAGGGTCTTACGAACTATTTGCCTGGCTTTTCTTATTTTAAAGACAGGATCTTGTGGGAGCACGAGTGGCCTATAATCTTAGCTACTCAGGAGACAGAGATCAGGAGGATCACAGTTCAAAGCCAGCCAGGGCAAATAGTTCTGAGAGACCCTATCTCGAAAAATCCTTCACAAAAATAGGGTTGGTGGAGTGGCTCAAGGTGAAGGCCCTGAGTTCAAGCCCCAGTACTGCCAATAAATAAATAAAATAAGAAAGAGAGAGAAAAAAGAAGAAAGATGGATGGAAGGAAGGGAGGAGAAAGAGAGGGAGGGAGGGAGAGAGAAAACAAGGACCACCTCTGATTCCTTTACTTTGTTTTCGTTTTGTTTTGTTTTGTCTTTTGAGCCCAAGCTACACAATGATCTTCCTGCCTCCGCCTCCAGAGTGCTGGAATTACTGGCATGTGCCAACACATCCAGCCCTCTGATTCCTTTACATGTTTCCAAAATATATCACAAGGTCTGGCAAATAGCAGACCTTGGATTCAGGGGTCACAGGTTATGAAGGTCTTAGTGTTCCAATTAGGACCAAATGTAGAAGTGAGGAAAGTAGGGGTGGGGGTCAGGCAAGAAGATGAAGTAAGACCCCAGCTGTGAGCTAGGATTGGAGGACAAGGAAGAGCAAAGGGTCAAAAGCTGCTCCTGGTAGGGGGCTAGAAGGGGGTTTATACCTCAAGTTGAGATACTGTAGTGATTTCATTTCCTTGGAGAAGCCATTCAGAGTTTCAATCTGGTTGTCCCGAAGATGCAAGGTGGTGAGATTGCTCAGGTTCTCCAAACCCTCCACCCTCTTCAGCATGTTCTGGGCCTGGACTCAGGGAGAGAAGGGAGCAAGGATGGAAAAGGAAGGGAAGTCACAAAGAGATGAAACAAAAGAGGAAATCCAAGGGCTACCCACTTGGGACCCATCCCTTCCCACGGGAGCTTTCATTCTTTCCCTTAACAAACTTTCCTACCTCTTAAAAAAAAAAGAAGGAAAAAAAAAAAAAGAAATTCAAGAGGTAGAGAGGGAGCAGTGGAGGAAGTGGAACAAAGAAGAGGATTGTGCAGCTCAAGTGGTAGAGCACCTGCCTAGCAAGTACAAAGCCCCGCGTTCAAAAAAAAAAGAAAAAAGAAGAAAGAAAAGAAAATGAAGAGTAGAGGCTGAGTTCCAACCTTCCCCCTTCCTCCTAAAAAAAAAAAAAAAGCTCAGGAGAAGCTGCCAGCCCAACAAGAGGTCAGTGGGGTGCCGTGGCTCACCCCTGTAATCCTAGCTACTCAGGAGGCAGAGATCAGGAGGAGCGGTTCAAAGCCAACCCCCCAGGCAAATAGTTCTGGAGACCCTATCTCAAAATAATCCATCACAAAATAGGGCTGGTGGAGTGGCTCAAAGTGAAGGCCCTGAGTTCAAACCCTAGTACTGAAAAAAAAAAAAAAGAAGGCACCTGAAATTCCCTACTGTGTATCCCACTAAAGCCATCTCTAGTATGGAAGATGCTCAACCTACCCCAACCCCCAACTTGAGCCTAAAAGACTGAACATTTAAGCAGACTCCTTAGCCTGCTCTCTGTACCTCAGTAGCACATTTTGCTGCAAATTATCTCTGTATTATCCAAACATTATGTATCATTAGCCTTGTTGGCTGAGCAGCATCTTGTTTGTCTTAACTTCCCACCTCCACAACATCCAGCAGCAAGTAAGGGCTCGTTATCACTATGATGATGAAGTTAGTAGGTAAGCCTACTAGAACCCAGGCATGCTGACCCCCAGGACAGTGTCTGCTTTCCTGCACCACCCTATGGCTGGCCCACTGAGCTACCAGGAAGAGGTTCTTCAACTTAGGAAGATTGATTCCCAGGGTGCTTTCTAGCTGGTTCCCCCGAAGCTCAAGGGTGTGCAGGTTGCTCAGCTTTTGTGGGTCCAGACTGGTCACCATGTGGATGCGATTCCCTGGGGAAAAGGAGGATAGCAAGAGCTTAAGGGGGCACTCTGAATGTTCAGTGTTCGAACCTGAATTTTGAGAGCCTCTGAGTCATCTCTCCTTTGAATGCAGGGTGGTGAGGAAAAATAGTACTAGACCAGTATCTCTGGAGTCCCAGGGCAAGTGCAAGTGATGGACATGTCCACCACAGCCTGTGAGGAACAAATGGAGAATGCCCCAGCCATCCACATATGCTTCAAGTGTTTGTTCAAACATCGCCTCAGTGATGTCTGTTCTGACCAACCAGTGTGAAACTGCTACCTGTGCCTGCCTGTTTCCCTTCCCTGATCTATGTTTCCCATAGTATTTATGTCCTTCTTGCATACTATATACATTTGTACACTATATAAACTTACAGTTTTTGTTTGTTGAAACACCATCACACGAATGGAGCCTAGACTAGCCTTGAACTCTCTATGTAGCCCACGCTGGACTGGAAATAGTTATGTAGCCCAGGCTGGCATTGAACTCAAGTCCTCCTGCCTAGGCCTTCTGAGTGCTGGGATTACAGACATGCACCACTATGCCTAGTTTAAATTTACTTTCTTACTATGTTAATTGTTAATTGTCCATTTCTCCCAGTTAGAGTATAATCTGATTGAGAACAGGGATTTTTTCTTTGTTTTTTTTTTTTTAACTGCTATAGCTCCAGCATGAACTGTCATAATCAGTGCCTTATTTATTTATTTATTTATTTTTCTAGTACTAGGGATTGAACCCAGGGTCTTCTGCTTGCTAGGCAAGTACTCTGCCACTTGAACTACACCCCCCATCCCTCTGAGTGTCTAAAAATGAATGAATGAATGCAATTGCTGTGTAGCTCAGTCAAGGACCATATTCTGCCGTCTTCTGGCAGCCCCAGGCTGGGAGGGAAGGAATCTTGTGTAGCCCATCACAAGGACCCACCTTTGAGATCCAAGCTCCCTAGCCGAGGATGAGAGATGCCTTCAGTATCAACGATTTGGTTGTAGGCAAAACTGGCAATCTGCAGGTAGGGCAGCTGGTTCAGCCGGGCACTCCGAAGCAGATTGCCATCAGCCTTGAGCCACAGCAGATGGGTGAGACAGTTGAGCGGTGATAGGTCTGTCAGGTGGTTCTCAGAAATATCCACATAGCGCAGATGGATGTAGGAGCGCAGCAAGCTGATGTCTGTCAGCTCCCTAGGAGATGATGGAGGGAAGAAAAACCAGGGTAAAGAGGTAATAACCCAGTAAGAACTGGCTGAGGTACTAAAGCAGAGGACAGTATAGAAATGGCTTAAAATAAGGTGCATGGGTGATGAATGGAAGGAGGAAGAGAAGAAGGAAGGTGGGTTTTTTGTTTTGTTTGTATTTTCTGGGGCAAGGATCAAGTCCAGTACCTTGCACATGCTAAACAAGTGTGCCACAGAGTCACACATCCAGCCCAATTAAGTGGACAGAGATTTTTGTGACAGGGCAAAGACATCATACTCTGAAGGACAGATAAGGGACTCCAGCAGAATATTCCCCCCACATACACTCACTCTCCAATTCCCCAGGTAAGTCACCAGTTTCCCAGAAAGTCTTTTGCTTGTTTGTTTGTTCTTTTTTGGTGCTGGGTGTCAGTCCTGTGCATGCAAGGTAAGTGCTCTGCCACTGAGCAATACTCCCAGTCCTTAGGGAGTCTTAGAAACCCTGAAAAGTAAATTCAATCTTTCTATCCCCACTAGGCTAGGATGAGAGATATTCAAACTTTCAGCCAAAACACCCAGAGATGAGAGTGGGAAAGTAGATGGGATCCTATAGACTCTCAATCTTCATCTGATCCTCCATGTACGCACCTGTCTTTAACCTCCAGCTTAACATAAGCATGAGCCAATCCATTGCCTGTTTTACAGAGCAAAGAAAGCCCTTCCTTCATCATATCCTCCGTTAGGGGGCTGGGCATCCACTGCAACAGGAAGTGAGTAAGTCAACCCTTTCCAGCCCACCCCTGGTCCTGAGCCCTAGGACCCCTCCCTTTCCAGGCTCTCACTTCCTCAGCGAACTCTTCCCCTTCTTTTCTGTGGTCTTCCCACTCCTCTGTCTCCTTTTCATCATCTTCTTTTTCCAGCTCTTCCTGGTCTGGCTCAAACTCGTCCAAGTCATCTTCATCTGACATCTTTCTCCCCACAAGAAGGCTCTGGAGTCAGATCCAGCTCAGTTCTGGTCCTGAGAAAGAAGGTCTCAGCTTCCATCAACCCTCATACCCCTCCCATCTATTCACAGGTAACCTGTCACCCGACCTTCCAACTACACATCTTTCCTCATTCTTGTGAACAACTCTCTTGACTCCCAACTTCTACTTCATATTTTCCATAAAGGACCCCTCTCCCTTCAGGATGACTTCCAGACCCCCAGACCTTTCCTACCCTTCATAGTGGCTCAACTCTCCTCCCTGATTTCTGGACTCCTCTCCCCAGTTATTCCACCTCCTTCTGAAGCCACTCCTCCTTCAATCTCCCCTACCAATTTCCCTTTCTCTCCCTTAGCAGAGTGCCTCCTTCACCCACTTCCATGCCTAAACCCTGCTCCAATCATTTTTTATCGTTTCCATCCCTCTTCAGCCCATTTCTCTGTTTTGGAACATCAGCTTGATGCTCACTCTTCATCCTCCCACCCAATCCCCCTTCGCCAAGGGGCGTAGACCCTGGTTCTGCTCAACTAGAAGCAGTTCTGGAGAGGTTTTGGTCCTGAGGGCGAAGGATTGCCTTGGAAGAATGGCAAGGGGGAAAGTAGGAGTTGTGTACTGCTGTTATGGAAACGGGGGCAGGGCACTGGCTCCTGCAGCGCGCATGCGTTTAAGGAAGAGCCGCAAGTAACAGCACTGCAAATCCGCCCGGGTGGCGGGTGGATCAGCAGTTGCCTGGTTATGGGCCCTACCTCCCTCCCAGGAACCCGGATGTGGCACGCAAAGGGCGTCTCGGCTTTAAGGCGTTAATTGTCGGCGAACAAAAAATAATGGGGCGGGCTTAGAACAGAACAGAAAGGCTGGGAGGGAGGCGTAGTTGGCCATTGAGACACCGCAAACCTTAAAGGGGCTGGACATCCTCTTTGCAAAAGTATTGTGTATGCTGAAAAAACTGTTCCCTAGAAGCAATAAGGGTATGGGAGAGGTGGAAGGCATTAGGAGAAACAAGAAGTACCAAAGAGGTCCTGTTCCCCCTGCATAGGCCCTTCAGCTAGAGCTTTGGAAGGTGGCCTGATGGAACACAAGGTATCCTAAAACCAGCTATGGGGTCTTGGCAGATCTTTGGTTTACTAGCAGTTTACCTAAGACTGAAATAAGCTTAGGATAAACTTAACCACACTAGCTGAACTGACAGGAGTCCTGGATGAGTTATCCTGACTGTTCTATTGTTTTGTTTTGTTTTTGAGGCAGGGTCTGGGCTGGAAATCAGGAAATATTCCTCTTGCCTAATGTAGCTTGGAATAATAGACTAATTTGTTCACCTGGTGCCATAGAACTAGCTGGAGCATTAGAATCAATCAGGGGTTTTAAAATATGAATACCAGGTTCCAAACCTAGCTCTACCACTTAATCTTCTTTGGGTTATATACACCTATATAATACAAAGTTATATTACTGATGCTTAATTTCCATATTTGTGAAATGGGATAAAAATGTTCATCTCAAAGGGTCGTTAGAGGTTTAAACGGATAATGTGGATAAATAATTTTTTTTTTGCATTTATTTGACCCTCAGCAAACAAATTCCCATCTATTCCATCCCTTGCCTCAGTTTCCTCAGTACTGGGGTGGCTGAGAGGAAAAAGTAAATAGGGAAGCACTCAAAGTGCTATTCAAATGAACATGATTGTATTGTTGGAGTGTGGAAAAGGGAAAAATCCATTTGGTCTAATGCAGTCAAAGGTAAAGGGTGTGAGTTTCCTTGTCCCAGAAGAAAGAGGAAGGGACATTTAGGTGAAAAAGAAAAGTGTAATTAGTCTGGCCCCAGTGACTCACATCTGTAATCCATGTACTTGAAAGGTAAAGATCAGGAGGATTGTTGTTCCCAGCTAGCCTAGGCAAAAAGTTAGCAAGACTCCATCTTAACTACCAAGGGACGTGGTGGTATTCTTCTGTAATTCCAGCTATAGAATGCTGACCCCAGGGAAAAACATGAGACCCAATCCAAAAATTACTAAAGCAAATAAGGGGTGGGGGAGTGTGGCTCAAGTAGTAGAGTTCCTGCCTAGCAAGTGAGAGACCCTGAGTTCAAACCCTTATAGTGCCAAAAATTAAAAAAAAATAGATGTAATTAGGGATGTATAAGGTTAACATACAGTTCTTTTGTTAAACACTTAAGCACTGACTCTGAGCTGGATTCTTAAGTGCTAGGCACTCAGCACAAGCCACTGCTTTCAAGAGCTTGCAGATCAGTGATGGGGTTAAACACACAAGTAATTCAATATAATAAAACAGATGCTCTAATAATGCTAGCCAACAGCATAGAGCTCTTTATTAAATACCAGATTTCCTTTTTTCCTGTGCTGGGAATCAAACTCAGGACCTTGTACATACTAGGCAAGTATCTTTCCACTGAGCCACACCTCAGCCTCAAGAGATACTTTTATAGTACCTTTATACACACAATATCATCTATTTGGGACAGAGAAAGCACCTGTGGCAAGGCCTGAATAAGGAGTTGCTCAAGGGCCCCAAGGGAAGCAGGTGGTTTTGCTGGCTGGAATATCAGGTACAGCTTGGGGGAGGATGAAATGGGAGGGGAACAGAGCTAGGTCACAGTGGGGAACATGGATTTTATCCTGGAAGCTGTGGGGAGCCACCCAAGGTTTTATTTTGTATTTAGTTGGCAAGGATTAAGTCTACACTGTGTAATGAGAGTTAGATACTCCATGACAGCCCTGATATCTTCCCCTCATGGCTGGCCTAAATGGAATATACTTCAATTACAAAAGTAATATTTAATTGAAAATTTTCAAAAGCAAAAAATGGAAGTGAGGAATATAAAGTCCATGACTTCCTTGAACACCACCCTTATTTATTAATAAAGATAGAGATTTTTAAAACAATATTGATACCAATCATGAATACTGTTTATTGACTGGATTGTTTTTCATTAGAAGTTTGTCTTAGCTTCTTTCATATCACTAAACATAGATTTCCCTCTTTCTCTTAGTTGTCTAGTCTTCCATTATTTGGCTATACTATAACTTTTTTTTTGTGACACTGGGGTTTGAACTCAGGGCCTCACACTTGCTAGGCAGGCACTCTACCACTTGAGCCACTCCTTCAACCTTTTTTTGTATTGAGTATTTTTAAGATAGTGTCTCTCCAACTACTTGCCTGGGCTGGCCTCAAAATGCAATCCTCCTGATCTCTACCTCCTGAGTAGCTAGGATTACACGCGTGAGCCACAGGTGCCCATGTACAATAACTTTTTAACTATTCCCTAGTGATGTATATTAACTTTTTAAAAAATTTGATTTCTTCATTGCCAAATAATTTCTTTTTTTTGGTGGTGGTGGTGGCGATACTGAGGTTTGGACTCATGTTTTTACCTTGCTAGGCAGGTGCTGTACCACTTAAACCATACCTACAACTCTTTTCGCTCTGGTTATTTTGGAGATAGCTCTTTACTTTTTGCCCAGGCTGGCCTGTCCTATTTGATGCTTCCTGCCCTAGCTGGGATAAAAGGAGCACACCATCACTAAGTACTTTTGTTGTTATTGTTTTGGAGACAGGACCTCGATATGTAAACTACAATGGCCTCAGATATTAACTTTTTTTTTGTTCATTTGTTTTGAGACAGGATCTCTCCATGTAGCCCAGGTTGGCTTGAAACTTGCTGTGTAGCCCAAGCTGGCCTTAAGCTCATTATCCTCCTACCTCTGCATCCTGAGTACTGGGATTGCAGGCATGCACCACCACACCTGACTGTATATAAACTTAAAAAAATTGCCAGATGTGGTGGTACACACCTGTAATCCCAGCAGTCCAGGAGGCTGAGGCACAAGGATCAATAGTGAGTTTATAGCCAGCCTGAGCTATACATGGAGCCTGTTTCAAGGAAAAAAAAAAAAAGAGTGCTGGTGGAGTGGCTTAGCATGCATGAGGCCCTGAGTTCAAACCCCAGTATCCCAAAAATAGAGGGAAGAAAAGAAAATTGTTTGATATGTTGTAAGAACTTTTGTAAATGCCACAATGTACCCCCACACAGCACAACAATAAAAAAGAAAGAAAGAAAATAAAATTGTCAGGACTCAGTGGTATCCCAGTGTATCTCAGTGATAGAGCATTTGCCTTGCATGTGGGAGGCCCTACATTTCATCCCCAGTACCACAAAAAGAAAAAAAAAGTCAACATTATAAATAGTGCTGCAATAAAAATCCCCATAGATACATCTTAGTATTAGCATGCTGTGGCAGTACTTCTCAAAATTTAATGTGTGTAGGAATGCTACTGGAACCGGAGATGCTCCAGGGAGGAAGCCTCTGCCTGGCCCTTGGTACCAAGTTCGTGATCTTGTCTCGAAAAAGAATTTTAGGACACATTGAGGTAGAGACTGAGAAAGTTTATTAGTAAAGCAAAACAAAGGAAGGATAGAACCATAGTACACAGCACAGACATGGACATGGGCACATCTGATAACAGGTGCAATGAGTGTTTTAAATCAGGGATATTATTGTGAAAAAGTGGGTTGGAGATTGGCTTGAATTTACCTTACAAAAAATGTTTCCTTTTGTTTTGACACCTGGTACAATTAGTTGCTTTTGCTGTTACATTGTCTTATCAACCGGGCCCAATGATTTCAAGACCGGCCTGCTCATTAAATTTGGCTATGACATAGATGTTTGAACATCCCTTTAAACAAAGGATGGGTCCTGCCCCTTTTTGGACAGGTGTCCATCTTTTGTAGATATTTTTTGTGCCCAGAGGAGTCATTTTGCCATGAGTTCTTTCCCAGGATAAGTGTCTTTCTTTAAGATATCACTGCTCAGATCTCAGAGTGCACTAATTGTTTTTGGGCAAGTGGGGAAGGTCGGGGGAGAACACTGCCATTTTTTCTTTTCTTTTTCTTTTTTTTCTTTTTAGTAAATGTTGCAGCTTGTTGAGGGAATGTAAGACTTAAGGCACAGAAAGCAGTATCTATATATTTTTAATTGAGCTATTCATTAGTACAATACTTATTTGTAAATTCCTG